GGGCCGTTACTTTGCCTATTTTTAGCTCCTCTTTCTAACGCCAGGGCAGTAGCTGATGTAAATACTTTCTTCCCTCTGGCAGAATTAAGGGGAAAAGTCAGAATCTCTCTTTTAAGAAAAAAAATGTGAATGGAAGCAACTTTATTTTTAAAATTCTAAAATTCCAGGTTTTCCTCAGAAGCAGCTTCTCCACAGTGCTCAGGTGACCTGTCCAGTAAAATCGTGTTGTTAGCTCTGTAGGCACCAGACCAAATCTCTCTGTGTCTGGAAAAACTTTTTAGTCATCCCAGTGGCACTTAAAATCATATTTCCACTTCACTAATGCGGTGTGTTTTGGCGGAAGAAGGCACTGGTACCTACTGGTCAGAATGTTTGAGGGAAAGTGTGGAAATTATTATCCAGATAGTGATTATTCTTCACTTAAAACTGTAAAAAAAAAAAAAAAAGTTTTCATATACGCTGTGGGGATGTCTTCCCAAATATTGTGGATAAAATTACTTAGAGATAAAAATTATATGTTTGAACTACTCCATCTAGTATAAGCATAAATAATAAATAATACACTTCTGACTCACACCTAAGAACAAATTTTTTAAATGCTATTTCTTCTTTTTCCTCTGCTTTTGGAATTATTTCTTTATGATTTCCAGTCCTGATTTTTTGTGAATTCTATAATCATACAGAAGGGAATAATTTTCAAAATGTTTATTATTACATTCATGTTTATTAAGAAACATGTAATTACTGCTCAGTATCCAAAAACCTCACTCCCCTTGGTTGTGGTTTCAAAGTTGTAATGTTTTACGTTAAAATTTATAAGAACTACAACAATGTGCAACAGGAACCTTCATTTCAGAACCCATGGGAGCATATATAGCAGTATATGACTAGCAAACTACTTTAGGTATTAAGATGTTTATCAGCTTCATGCCTTTTAAATACTCTTAGATATATTGTGATTACTTTAGCTTGTAAATTCCTCTAGAGAAATGTTTACTTAAATTTGTAGAAAGTCTTGCAGCATGAGCACTTCATCAACACTATAAATTAATGAATCTGGCAGTGGTTCAGCTTATATGTCAGTGAGTTCTCCAAGTGCCACTTCCATATATCTTAGGTTCCATTGCTTTTTTATCCCAGATATTCCACAAATCTACATTCCATTCTAATGCAATCTGTTCTGTTCTTGTGGGTAGCCGATAGGTCTGACTTGTTTAGCTAGGTGAACATAACTGGTGCACTGGTGTGATATTAGGAGCAAGTTTTTTTCTTTTTAATCTATAAAATAAATGCCATTGTTTGTGATTTCTAGTCTAGATTGATCTGTTTAACTTGTTTGATTATTTCTTCAGCTTGGTAGTTTGCCCAGAGCACACTGTTTTTAGATCTCTGTCACACCACTATTTCACAGCTATGCATTGTTTAAGAATTAAAATTCAAATAAAACTCAGAAGTATTAAATTTAACTTAACTATTGTTTGAGAACTATGTCCAAGACACTGCTAGGTGCACAAAAATGTATAGAGTTTGGTTTTCTCTATCCTGAAGAAACTTACAGTAATGAAAACCAAAAATGGAGTCTTTTCCTGCATTTATTTGTTTAAACATTATACTAATGGTCTGGCCATTGCCGTTTCAAACAGTATCTATTAAAACTATTATTTATGTGTTTTTGCCTTTATTTTTTTAAATGCTTACTTTGAAAATGGCAAATGAGAAATGCAGAAAGTTATGTCTTCAACTAATGATATAATCAAAATATAAATGAGACTTGTTCAAATCTCACCCACATTTCAAAGCCTATTTCGAGTGTCACATTTTTAATAT